TATAAAAAATCTCCAATATTTAATTTTTATATGATACCACACATAGTTTTGATTTACATAGGCCACAGAACACCCCAGTGATACCAGTGAATTTTGTACCGACATTGCAGCCGAACCAAGACAAACTCCGCCACCTACACCCGGATCCGTACTGCAACCAACGTTCATTATAGAAGTAGCAAGAACCGAGACTCTCAACAGTTTGAATAGTCTGACGGTAGATTACTTTTCAGCTAATGCACAGACCAATCTTATTCAAGTCTATTTAGCGATAAAGATATTTGATCGTCGGCAGGACTCAACCGCAGCAATGCTTGCGATCCTCTACTTACGCAACAATCAGGTCCCAAATCCGGCACTAAATGGTCCAAACCCGCCACCAAATACACCACCCATGATAACATTGGCAAACACGACACCAAATCTTGCAATTTCTTTCGGAACAGCACCATTAAATAAGCAATCAACAGCTTTTATTAACAATACTGGTATATCGGCTGGTAGGTTAACTGGCTTCTTACAACGCACCGATATCGCCTGTACAGCAGCTGGTATGCCAAATTACCAAACAACTATCCCTGCGAACTTACTTTTTATGCCCAGAGTTGTTCCTGCTGGAGTGCCAAATAATTTTACCATAGACCTATGGGAGGTGCAGCAAGAAGCTTTGTATCGTCTGGTGTGTATTGCTTTCACGCTTCTCTGATATATTATTATTATTATCGGTATTTACTAATTTTTTTTTACATTTTTAGTAATAATATCAATCAACTTGAGGGTTTTTTTGACGGATATTCTCCTAAATCTGCTCTTGCTCATACGTTTTTCAAATCACATATTGAATAGATTTTTTCTAGATAACTATTAGAAGTATTAGAAAATCAGTGTACTGCATCTGCTTTTAAGTTTATAATAAATTCACATAAATTAAAAAAAATACAAGGCCCGAAATATATGGTTTTTTTATTAATACATGCAAAAAATAAATACAAAGTTAGGGACGTAGCCCGTGATACATAACGTCTATGCTAATAGTAGACTAATTTACATGATCATTTTATTCTATCGTAAGACCTATATTCCTTTCCGCAAGATTACTCGATGACCTTTGCTTTTTTATTTCCCTCGATTCCTGGTCCCCCCCCTGGGACCTTTCTACCGGCTTCTGCGCCTCCTCTAATAACCATACAATATGACCAAGAACTTTCTCCGTCTTCTCTTTCATATCCTCATCTTCATACGCAACAGTAAGGGCTTTGATAGCTTAAATGAAAGCTTTCCTTCACTGTCCTGCGTACATTCCATAAAATACCATCCCCCAATTTCGTCAGCTTTGCGCTTATGATCTAGTGATGATTCCATCTGTACGGTGACATGACTTGGTTAGAATTCTAAATGGCAATTTCTACTTGTGCCTTGTCTCACAAATTAGTTATGCATAATGACAAGCCTTGTAAGGTGATACAAATAAATTTTATATGTATGCAGAATTATTCTAGCACATGTTATAATGATGTTAAAGTTTGTTTAAACCATCATTACCAATTTGTTAACCTATTTATTTTTATTTAATGTTAATTATTCAAGAATTATTGTTATTACATTCACATTATTTATATATTCCCTTCACTACTTTTTTGTATATCTTACAATATAGATGTAAATGATAATTATATTTATCACAAACCTTATATCTGTGCTTCTATTCTCTAAAGATATGTCACTTTTCAAAATAATTTTGTTTGTCTTTATATGTGAATATGCTATTTGGAATTTTTATTTTTATATATTAACAAAAAAAATAATATATATATGTATATACATATATATATAGGTAATATTTTTAATGAGAGTATGATACTAGTAATATAGTTCAGTCTCAGATATTACCAAATTTGGATGTTGCAGATTACTTTCTTTTTTGTATGATTAGAAAATTCTTGAGATTTTCATTTAAGTTTATGACTAGTCAATAAAGGTCCTTGAGGCTAAATTTATACCAATCACTATTTGTTTTTTTATTTAATAAACTACTGCTTTTTTTTAAAACTCTTGGGATCATAGCAGATTCTTAATCATAGAATAATTTATATTAAAATTAATTCAAAGGTTTATTATTAAATAATTTTTTTTAAAAAAAATAAAAATACTATATAAATCATTTCTAGAATAGTCTTTTACTAATAGTAGATCAATTTTTATATTTGGTAATATCTGAAACTGTAGTTACACTAGATATAGTAATGAGGTATAGTAATTATATGAAATTATAATCTTGAGGTTACATACTACCAAC